GCAACCTTAACAGTTGGTAGAAGCCTAGTAACAAGGGTAGTTTACATATTTAAGGCCTAGTGGCCTAGAGTCAGCATCTCTGTTTAATTATTAAAATTATTTGTGAAAGGGTCAGTGATGCCTATCAGGGTGTGAGCACTAAGCTGGAAGGAAAGTTGCAGGTAGGAGATTGCTTAAGAAGTAGTCACAAAAGGAGCCAGAGAGAGATGCCGAATGACAGGCCTCTGGGCCACTGCCTACACTAGGCAGGTGAATAGCATTGTATTAAACTAAACAACTTTCAAAGTGATAAACCATATCCTTATATGTAGGGTGCCTAATTCTTTGCATTAAAAGATCACAAATATTTCATTTTTGCAAAGCTGTTTAACACTTTTAATCTCTACAGAGGCCTTTGAAGTACAACTGTCAGAAAAATCCTGTGGGATCACCAAGGGCCTTGTCTTTGTCCCATGAAATCTCATTAGGTATAGTCAGGGTTTGCCAAGCGGCAGCGAGCCCTGCTCGCCAGCCACATGGTTCTGCGCTCTGCACATGTTGAGATCATTCTGCGCATGCACAGATCACTTTGTGCCAGCTCTTCCGGGGTATAACCTACTCACCATGGGCGAGTAGATTACATTATTTGTCGAGCCCTGGGTATAGTCAAGTTTTAAATGGTTAAAATTACTCCTTTTCTTCTCTTACAATTATAACAAAATTTTGGCAGAATGCCAAAACAACTGACCATGAATGAGGACCTGTGCCATTACCAAAGTACCAACAGCACAACACATGCTACTCTAGGAACGCCAAGAACACTCTTCCCAGGAGTAGGAAAGAAAGAGTTGGTTCGTGCTTCCCCAATTCTTCTCCTCACACAGACAGAAAAGCCCAACTCGTCTGTGGCTTAATCTGTAATGAAAGAGGTGCCAAGGCTCAAGCAATTTTTATACTTTCATAACTAACGTGGCAATCCCGAGGTGCCAGGGCTATGAAGTGACGAATCTAGAGGTGCTGCAGCTCAGCACTGGCACAAATTAAGCACCGCACCTCTCCTTCTGGGACCATCATATGATGAAAACAATTACCCCAACCTCTCAGTGTCAGAGGAAAAAACAAGTGCCCCAATTAAAACCCAAGATTCAAGGCACAGCCCTACTGATCCCACTCATTTCTACAGTATCACATGAAGCAGGCACTCCCTCCTCAACTCCATCTTTTGGGGAAGAGAAAAAAATAGTCAGGCAAATGCCCTGACACCACTCCCCATATCAGTCAAACCATATGGCCCAAGCAGCCAATTTCCTTCCACTCTGGGATAAAAGCTTTCTACTACTGCCAGCAAATGCGGTTTATCCTATATTTCAAGCAGCAGAATTGCATCCTGAAGACAGATTCAGGGTACAAAGCTTGAAAATAATGCATTGAGAAGAGGGGAAGGGAGATGTTATAGTTGCAGAACTTTTTCACTTTTTCCCTTTTAAGTAAAGGCTAGAAAATAAATAACAATCTTTAATGCAGTTTAACAGATTTTACGTTGCAAAGTCAAGTACTTGAAAATATTGAACACAGGGAACGAGGAATCTATTATATAGTTGTTTTTAAACTTCATTACAGGCAGTCCCCGGGTTATGTACAAGATAGGGATTGTAGGTTTGTTCTTAAGTTGAATTTGTACGTAAGTCGGAACTGGTACATATTGTACCCCACGTGTCCCCGATTCAGCCGCTGCTGGTCAGTTTCAACAGCGGCTGAATCTAGACGCCTGGGACAGAGCAGCTGGGGCGCTGCCGGGTAGGTCCCCGCAGCGCCAACGCGCGGCACTGCGGGGACCAACCTGGCAGCACCCCAGCTGCTCTAACCCAGGGATCCGCAAGTCAGCTGCTGCTGAAACTGACCAGCGGCTGACTACAGGAAACCCGAGGCAGAGCTGCTTTGCCCCGGGCTTCCTGGAATCAGCCGCTAAATCAGTTTCAGCAGCAGCTGACTTGCGGATCCCTGGGTTAGAGCAGCTGGGGTGCTGCCAGGTTGGTCCCCGCAGCGCCAACGCGCGGCACTGCGGGGACCAACCTGGCAGCACCCCAGCTGCTCTAACCCAGGGATCCGCAAGTCAGCTGCTGCTGAAACTGACCAGCGGCTGACTACAGGAAACCCGAGGCAGAGCTGCTTTGCCCCGGGCTTCCTGGAATCAGCCGCTAAATCAGTTTCAGCAGCAGCTGACTTGCGGATCCCTGGGTTAGAGCAGCTGGGGTGCTGCCAGGTTGGTCCCCGCAGCGCCGCATCTCAGCGCTGCGCAGACCAACCCGGCAGCCCCCCAGCTGCTCTACCCCAGGCGTCGGCGAGAAAAGCCTGGTCTGCTGGGGGGAGGGGCGCTAGCTCCGCGTCTCCATTGTCTGCTGGGGGGGAAGCACCCCCCACGCCACCAGAGGCGGCGACAGTGGGGGAGGCACCCTGCACTAGCTGCACCTCCTCCCTGTTCATAATTAGGGGTCCGACTTACGTCGGATTGACGTAACCTGGGGTCTGCCTGTATTCAATGTGTAGCCCCTATTTTATATAATGCAAGTTATTCAGATTTTGGGCTGAATACAGAATTATTCCTTTTCTTGTTGTCTTTTCTAGAGTATTCACGTAATAATGAATTTCCCTCCCCAGTGAGACAGTATCATAACCCCCATTTTACAGATAGTCCCAGGCAAACCTCAAACTTTGGCCATCTCAGGACCTCCTCCTGACTCCTAACCCTGTTCTCATGTGTTCAGCTATTTTACTTCCAGAATTGCTAAGCACACACAACTTCCATTGACCTTGGTTGCAATTGCAATGATTCAATCACTTCCTCAGAACTGGTGTAAGAACACATTAATTTGAAAATTAAATAATCCTCTGTGGAATTCACCTGTCTTAAGCACAAGACTATTTTCTCTCTTTCAACAGTTCCTTACCTCGTTCCTTACATATCTTCCAATTTCTACAGCAAATGAGGCAGAGAGTCTACAAACAGCCTAATTTCACAACAGTTCCTGAACACTATCCACCATGTCTGAATGGCCAGGGTGCAGTAGATATAAAAAATATGGTTTGATCATGGAACGAATATAAGGTTATCATAAAGCATGCAACAAGATAAATGAATTAATGTTGGATGGGAAACAAATATTACCTAAACTTTCAAGTCCTTACTTTGCAATCTACATAATATTTTAATGGAGAAGAGAGTGTCAGTATGTAATTGTATCTCGGAACACTACCTACCACCAGGGAGAGGGGTACCCTAAAACTTCAATTTGTCAGTAATTCTACCATTAGTTTCCCATACAATAAAAGATTACTGCACTTCGAAATTTAAACATTTTATTTTATATTTTCTAGCAAAAACCTAAATAGTGGGGGACAGGGATAACTAAATAAAGGTCATTGAAGTAGTCTTCATTCATTAGTGTACTTTGAAAACATTTTACAATTAAACATGTTCTAATATAATCAAAACTGCACCTCATTTAGTTATCAAAGTTTCAGATTTGCATAGTACTGCAATGATATAGTTAAAACATGAATTATTGCATCTCTTGTATGTGCGATAGTGAATCATGTTACTGAAACTGTAAACTGATGTCACCCTGCTCAGAAAAATGAGAGATGTAGTCTCATTAGGTTATCCCAAGTGAACAAAAATATTAAAGCTGCTAATTTACAATCCTAATGGAGGGATTAATCCATAATCAAAAAATAAAATCTTGCTTTTCATTAGAAGCTTATATAATACATGTTACTTTATTTAAAAAAAAAAAAACAAACCACACCACACAGACTTTCCAGGTTTACATCTTAGCATCAGAGCACTGAAATGAGTTCTAATCCTGTGCTGCCTTTTAACTGAAAAGCAGTTCAACTGATTAAGTATATTAAAAAAGCGGGGCAGACTGATTAATAAATAGCACAGTTTGAAATTGCTGAGATTTAAAAAACAAAGCATGTAGCAACATTTAGCAGGTTTCTTTCATTAATGGAACAGATTAACAAATCCTGGAAACACAAATGTGGATATATAATAGATGTTTTATAAAACATATCTGGTCAATTTCTATCAGTATAAATAACAAATTTAAAAGTGTTAATGTTCTGAAAAGTATACCAATAGTCGATAGGTGAGAAGATGAATGAAATCTTTACATTCAGCCTTACAGTTTTCTTTTCCTTCAATCACAGTGTTATTTAAATACTTTTAAAAGTTAGGAAAGTGACTTAAGTACTGCATAAACCAGGGCTACTCAATACATGGCCCATGCACATGCAGCCTGTTTGAGGCCCGGGATGTGGTCTGGGTTTATGTCGGGCTCAACACCCGGCCCGTGGGTGGATCTCTTTGAACATGGCCTCCACTGGGAACACGTACCAAAATGGTGAGGCATCTCCCAGGCAGGGTGTGCACTGAAAGACACAAGCAGATAGGCTGGCTGGAACAGAGAGGTACAGAGTGTCGACGTCTCTAGCCTCAAGGGAGGAGGTTCTGGGAGCGCCAGGGCATTGTGGGAAGTGCTTTGTATTCACGCCTGTCAGTGTGAAAGAAGCTATTTGCATATAATTGTATGTATACGGAACCACACTTAAGTTGCAGCCCTCAGCATGTAATGTGAGTATCATTGTGGTCTCCGGGGCTTCCAAAGTTGAGTAGCCCTGGCATAAATGGTACTTTCCCCTATACATCAGTGCTTAAGTCTACAACCAAGAAATGAACACTTTCCTCCTAAACTACATTTTGCCTAAAAAACCCACAAGCAATCCAAAAATAATCAAAACATGTTTGAATAGTCTAATTACTATACGTGTTCTTAATGTGTGTTTAAACAATCATTTTTGGAAAAATAGTTTGAGTTATACATTTCAAGATACTAACAAATCAACACTTTAAGAATGGGAAAAAAGTTTAAAACAAAAAGGACAAAACGCACATCTAATCACCACCAAAATCCCCCTTCCTTTCTTTGACCACCACATATTTTAACTGAAAAGCTTACCTTCTTCTGGTACCAAACTATAGCATCTGTTACTTTGGACGCCATTTATTCTACTGCATTCACACGGTAGTCATTTTAGGCTGTTAAAAGAAAGACAAATTTTAACTTTCACCTTCCTAGAAAAGATTGATCAACAGGCATGTAAACTACTACCTGCAAGGAAAAGTGGTGAATAGATATGCTTACATTACATCTTGCCTCACTTTTAATAACAAGTTTTCCCCAATTAAACAAAACTCTACTGCCATAATAAGGAAACAGAAGTTTCTATTATCTACATAGTGAAGTAATGCATACCTGGCAAACAAAGAATAGTGATAGAATTTTGATTCTAGGATTTTGATCTGAGGAAGTGGGTCTGGCCCACGAAAGCTCATCATCTAATAAACCATCTTGTTAGTCTTTAAAGTGCTACATAGTCCTGTATTTTGCTCTGGCAAACAAAGTAAGCTTTACTACCCAGCTATATCTCATAGGATACGTAAGACTGACCATACTGGGTCATACTAAAGGTCCATCTACCCCAGTATTCTGTCTGACAGTGGCCATTTCCAGGTTCCCCAAAGGGAATGAATGGAACAGCATCCAGTGATCCCTCCCCTTTCACCCATTCCCAGCTTCTGACAAACAGAGACTAGGGACACCATCCCCGTCCACCCTGGCTAATAGCCATTGATAGACCTAACCTCCATGAATTTATCTAGCTCTTTTTTGAACCCTGTTATAGTTTTGGCACTCACAACATCCTCTGGCAAGGAATTCCACAAATTCACAGTGCACTGTTACATATTAATTTCATTTGGTGATCTTCATTTGTGTTATGGGAAGGAGTAATTAACTCTTCTTTATTCAGTTTCTCCATACCAGTCATGATTTTACATTTACATTGAAATAAAAAAACATGGTATCAAGTCTAAGCCTGGGTCAACTGGCTCAGGCTCATACAGCTTGGGTTTCAGGGCTAAAAACTGCAATAGACATTCGGGCTTAGCCTAGAGTCCAGGCTCTGAGACCCACTCCCACCTAGGGATGTTAAAAAAGCAAGGTTTTTTGTAAACATGTAACCATGTGGAAGGGGAAGGCAACTCTGCAGGAGCTGGTACACAGAAAGCTGGCTCTCTGCAAGCACCACCTCCCACCTGCTCCATCCTCCTCTCCCCTCGCGCTGTCGTCTCTGATATAGAGGCAGCAGCGGGGGGAAGAGGGGAGTCTTGTGTGCAACCATGAAGGTTCAACAGTGAACTCAGGTTCATTGTTAGCCATTTAACCATGTACACTAACACATCCTTACTTCCATCATGGGGTTTCAGAACCTGGACAACAGCCAGAGCCCAAATATCTATACTGCAATTTTTAGCCCTTAAATTTGAGCGCTGAAAACTAAAGTCAACTGACCTGGGACAGCTGCAGTCACGCCAAAGGTCTTATATGTCAGTGGGGAGACATATTTAAGGCCAGAAAGGATAATAATGATCAGCTAATCTGACCTCTTACACACCACAGGTCATAGAAGCTCATCTCGCTGCTCCTGCAATAGGCCCACAACCTGTGGCTGAGTTACTAAATTCCTCAAATCTTGATTTAAAAAGCTACAAGTTATGAGAATCTGCCATTTACTCTAGTTCCAACTAGCCAGTGACCTATGCCCCAGGGCTCTGTCAATCTGACCGGGGGAGAAATTCCTTCCCAACCCCAAATATGGCAATTGGCTAAATCCTGAACAGATCAGTAAGGTTCACTGCCAGATACCTAGGAAATAATTCTCTGTAGTAACCTGGGATATGTCTACACTGCAGAGGAAGATCGAAGCTGCTGCTATCGATCTTCAAGGCTTTGAATTAGTGGTCTAATTAAGACAGCTAATTCGAAGTGAGAGGGGCATTCTGGTCGATGCCAGTAACACTGCTTTCACAAGGAGTAAAGGAATTTGAAGGAAGACTGTTCTTTCTTTGACTTCATGCTGTGTAGACAGCACCAAAAGCGAAGTTAAGCTACTTCCACTTCAACTATATAATTACTGTAGCTGAAGTTGCATATCTTAATTCAACTTTGTCCTGTAGTGTAGACATACCCATGGATCCCTCACAACCTGGCATTCCATTTCCTGCCACTGGAGACATTTGCTAATAGCAGTTAACAATGGGCCACGTCATAGTACACAACCCTCATCATACAATGCCCTCCATAAACTTAAAGCTCAGTCTTAAAACCAGTAAGTTTTTTGACCTTCTCTTCTCCCCTGGGGAGAATGTTCCTGAACTTCATTCCTCTCATGATCAGAAACTTTGATCTGTAACTTAAACCCCTACTGGTAATGGCTAGTTTATATCCATTTTTGGTACCAAAATTGGCCCTTAACTTAAATAATTAAAATGTGAAACAGGAAAGGCCAAGGACTCTGTTGGAATTTCACAAACACTCATTTAAAATACCCCTAACCACCACTTGATGCTTTACTTCCCCTTTTTCAGTTCTGTCAATTTTATTTGCTGTCACTTTATTACTTCCTTTTAATGTGTGAAGCATTAATAAATTAAAAGATGAAATCCCACAGAAATTGTATAAACTTGAGTGAATGCCTTTCCAGAATCAGAAAATATTGCATTAACATTTGCGAGGAGAGCATGATTTCCGGTTACTCAGAGATTTGCTCAGCATTTTAAAGTGGGTTATATGCAGATTATATGCATGCAGGAGGTATCATTTTGTAGGCTACAAAAGTCCCTAGCATGCTAGTGTTTTTGCAGATGCTTTAATTTCTGAGAGCAGCCTGCCCTGAAGATTTAGTCATCTATGGGAGTAAGTTATTAAATTGAGCCTCTGTGCATATTTTTCTGCTTTCACTTAAAAGCCATGCCTTTGTTTTATTTATATAGCTGTTTTCAGCAGACCACATCTTGGTGTGTTTACTAGCTTCAGTTGTTAGAGTACATGTATTTTATTTTATCCTAAGGGCAATGTTATTTTTATTTGATTTCATATTAAACATCTTAAGCGATGCAGCTTAATGGCATATTAGAGTGCATTAGAAGGAGCATTTCCAGCAGGTCTATGGAAATAATTATTCCCTTTTATTCAGCATGGGTCAGACCACATCTCAAGTACTGCATCCAATTCGGGGACCCCCCCACTTCAGAAAGGATGTGGATGTATTGGAGAGGGTCCAGCAGAGGATAACGAAAATGTTTAGGGAGCTGGAGCACATGACTTACAAGGAAAAAAATTAGGGATTTGGGCTTAGTTAGTTTACAGAAGAGAGGAGTTTGGGGGGGAGGGGGTTGATAGCAGCCTTCAAATACCTGAAGGAGGGCTCCCAAGAGGATAGAGAAAGTCTGTTCTCAGTAGTGACAGATGGGAGAACAAGGAGTAGTGGTCTCAAGTTGCAGTGGGGGAGGTCTAGGTTGGATATTAGGAAAAACTATTTCATTAGGAGAGTGATGAAGCACTGGAATGGGTTAACTAGGGGGTGGCTGAATCTCCGTCCCTAGAGGTTTTTAAGTCCCAGCTTGACAAAGCCCTGGATAGGATTATTTAGTTGGGATTGATCCTGCTTTGGGCAGAGGGATGGACTCAATGACCTCCTGAGGTCTCTTCCTGCCCTATGATTCTATGACCTTGTTAATTAATCCCTTGTTTTAATATTTTTCCAAATCGATGAACTTTTTAAAAATGTATCTAGGTTTTTTGTTTGTACGTGATGCATGTCTGCACATTATCTTGATATTGGTGCACATACCAAATTTCAGTATGTACAGTAAACTTCCGATAATCCGGCACCTTTAGGACCCAGGGGGTGCCAGATTATCAGATATGCCGGACTATCAGAAGGGGGGGGGCTATGAGGGGTCTGGAGTGGGGTGGGAGGAGATGCCACCCCAGACCCTTCATAGTCCCCCCTTACGATAGTCAGGCTCTGCCCCAGGAGTCCCTGACTCAGCTGCTGCTGGTCAGTTTCAGCAGCAGCTGAATCAGGGATGCCTGCAATAGAACAGCTGAGGTGCTGCCGGGTTAGTCCCGCAGCGCCGAGGAGCGGCGCTACAGCACCAACCCAGCAGCACTCCAGCTGCTCTTGGGGACGCCTGGGGCAGAGCAGCTGGAGTGCTGCCAGGTTGGTCCCGCAGCGCCAAAGGAGCAGCTCTGCCCCGGGCTTCCTGGAATCAGCCGCTGATCTGTTTCAGCAGCGGCTGAATCGGGGACCCCTGGGGCAGAGCAGCTGGGGTGCTGCCGGGTAGGTCCCGCAGCGCCGAGGGGCAGCGCTACAAGACCAACCCGGCAGCACCCCAGCTGCTCTGCTCCCGGCTTCCCCGATTCACCGATGCTGAAACTGACCAGCAGCGGGTGGATGCCCTGCCGGGTTGGTCCCGCAGCCCCGAGGGGCAGCGCTACGAGACCAACCCGGCAGCACCCCAGCTGCTCTGCTCCCGGTTCCCCGATTCAGCTGCTGGTCAGTTTCAGCAGCAGCTGAATGGGGGAAGCCTGTCCGGCTGCCCCAGCACTTCCGGGTTCCTGATGGTGCCGGACCATCAGGAATCCCGGAGCATTGGATGCCGGACTATTGGAGTTTTACTGTACATGGATGGGAAAAATTAGAGGGAACACTGCTCAAAGACCAAGCTCAGAATTGAATCCAGAAAGACGGTCTTGGAAACAGGCTACTTTTACCTTTGCTTTCATCCAAATTCTCCTTTTTCATAAGAGAGGGGAGGGGATCTTTCTTTTGCCTGTCTCAGATATTGTCTATACTGCACTTTCGTTATTAAAATGTGTCACTCAAGAATGTGAAGAAAAAAATCTCACCCCCGAACAACAAAAGTTTTAAAACAACAAGAAGCGCTGATGTGGACAGAGCCTCCATCATGAGGAGCGCTCTCCTGTTAAAGTAACAGCCTCTCATTTGGGGTGGTGTAATTTTGTTGCTAGAAGAACTCTCCCCCAGAAACAAAGAGCTGCTATAATGCCTACCTTATAATTGCATAGCTGCAGTGGCATAGCCATACCATTATAAGGTACACAGTGTAGACAAAGCCTCCGAGAACCCTTTATCTACTACAAACTGGGAGGGGGAAAGTGTATAAATGAC